ATTTTTAATTATCTCTTAAAAATAGAAAGGTAATTATAAAAGAGGAATTTGTTTGTTATATGAAATACTTTAGGAACGCAACATTCAAAATCAATTTAAAGCATTTTTGAATGCTCACAACTGATTTTCAAAGTGGTATAAATTTTTAGGTATCATTAATATTTTGAGAACAATATAATTCGGCGATGTTTTAAAGTAAATTTTTTACGCATAAAAATAAAACGAATTTGATAAATAAAAACCCGAAATTCCGAAACATTTACATACGGACATAACTTTACAAAACCAATTTTACTTGTATTTTAACACCCTAATGGTTGAAGTGCTTAAAACACTTCAAATAAAACTAATTATGTATAATACTTCACCTCAATATAAATAACAATCCGTAGAGCATTCGTCCTGCTGCAGTGAATAATGTGTCTGTTAATGCCCATTATCGATTAATTAAAAAAATTATAATAAAAGACCTTCTTAAATACTTAGTGAAACTATTCATGGATTCTTAAATAGCGTTCAACACTAAGAGATAAAGAATGGTCAAAACTCCCACAATATGGTAAAATTTACCATATAATTGCATCTACGGAAGCACTAAATAGCTCTGTAATTTTATCCGTTTTACCGACTAATGATTTCGGTAAACTTAATAATTAAATATGGGTTTATAATATGGGATAAAATTTGGTAAAAGTGGTATAATTTGGTAATTTTATCACGATGTCTTAGATCATGACATAAAAACCCTTTATTCGGCTGAATTAGCTTTTCTTTTTTGTATTTTTTCCTAAATGTATGGTAATAAGTCTATAAGTTAGAAAAACAGAATTTTCGGAAAACGGTTATCACATAAACGGTACAGTTACCGAATGAATACTGTATATTTATATCTTGCAAGAAATATTATTACAAACAGTGTGACAATTTTAAAATAATTTTTTTCTCTGTGAGTAAATAAAAAATAAATGGATAAAATTAGAGTTGTGTCAATTACAGTTCCACCATATTATCCTTGTATTAAAATTAATTATATTAGTCATGTGTGATACCATGCAACTACATGTGAAAGTATTAAACAATTTTTTCAATATTTGTTTCATGAGTAACAGAATTATTCCAACGTTCTATGTCAATCCTAAGTTCCTCTATTTAATCTAGTTATGCATAGTTTTTATAGTTAACAAATAATCGAAGAACTAGAAAAATAACACTCGATGAGATTCCATAGAAATTTTCCTCATGAGTGTTTATTGCTTAGCAACAATGGGAAAAATTCCGACAGTGTTGTTCAGCGCCGATGCCTAAAACATTTCATTAATCTTAATTTTTTTTTGCTTTACACAGCATAGATAAAATTAATAAGAGTTTTACAAAGCACTGGGAAAATTTAAATATAAGTATTAGTAATACGAATTACGTAAAATAATTCTTCTGAATTTGGCTTGACCAGTTTTTGAGTGAATATGATTATTTCCTATTTGCTTCAAGTATTCTTTCCGAAATAAGTAATCCATAAAAAACACTATTTTGCTATTGCATCTTGATTTATAATTTTGCCCAGAAGTAAACAACCAATATTATCTAGGAGAGTTAATAATTACTAAATGTCGCATTTAAAATAAAATAAAATCCACCTTAGACTGTTTGTTGACCCTAACTTTATACCTAACTCAATTTTAGTTTCTACAAAACTACAAAATATGAATTTGGAGTGACATATTTTCATCTTAAATGTTGTAGCAACATTTATGTAAACATATGTAATCCTTTTAATAAAGGTGGAGCATAGAAACTCAAAAAGAAATCCTTTTTAAGATAAAATAAATGTCAGGTTTTGTACTCTTCCGAAAATTTCCTCTGCATATAAAATACGCTCATTTAAGACTTTGTGAGGTTGAAAATGATACCATTCTTTTTTTTTCGTTATTCTTTTATTTAATTTTTTATCAAATAAGTGCTAATTCTATTATAAAGAGAAAATATGAAAACATATAAATTGGCTCCTTAAACTTAATGTTCCTCGATGTTAATATTTTTTTTACAAATAAATTATTAACGATATAACCATTGATTTCATTTTCTAAAAGGAAATTTAAGCAATATTTCTTGAGCAATATCAACTCATGCACTTCGTTTGCATAATTTGCATTCTTTTTGTTAAATCTCCCAACGCAATATTTCAATTAATAATAAGACTGAATTTGCTTTGTACAAAATATTCAAGTAATTAACAACTTTTAAAAATTTTAATTAAAGAAAAATTATTTTTGGAAAACTACCGGTGGATTAGCTTTAGCGTGCATATAAAATACCGGTGGATTAGCTTTTATGAAACTGTTACGACATTTTTTTTAATATGCAGCATTGCTCATTCATTCTCTGATTCTGTTCAATCCTTTTCAGCTTCTTTCATTCTATTAGAAAAACAATCTTGTAATATGTATCGTATCTAATTTTCATAACAATAACTTTTTCGTGGGCAACATATAAGTGGATTAACGCCTCACAAATAATAGAGGAAGGAGATATAGAAAGGAGATATTAATTACTCACATGCGCGAAGCGGTATCTGAATCCGGATCTTCCAAGTGCGAGACCAACTCCTTGATTTTCATACAGTCTAGTCGGCTTGTTTCGTCACTTTATTTTTGATTGTCTAACCTTCATTATGACTTTGTTAACAATCTAGTTAACAATCTCTCATAATCCAGTGCGATGAGGTTCCAAGTTGAAGAAGCATTTTCGTCATATATTTGAGAACTCGTGTTTTGTCATAATAACGTAATTACGTGACGAAATTATTCTCAAAATTGAATTGCCAAATGTGAAAGTTTTATTTCTAAGAGTGAACTGTTACGCCATTACCATGACACTATTATAATTATTGATACTAATACTATTACACCATTACCACACTGTTATTATAATTATTAATATTTTTATTAATTAGAAACAATTACTGCAAATCTTATTTAATAATTGATTTTTTTATTATGCAAAATTGCTCAATTTAAATTCAGATTAGTACTTGAATATTTTTCATGTTTTCCATGAATTATAATCACAAAATATTTGTAGTATTCTAGTATGCACACGGTTTTCCTTTAACCAACAAATTAGCTTTTATGCCAAAAGAAATTTCCGAATTTTTTAGCTAAATAATTTTAAGACTCGAGAGTGTCAAATTTTATTTTTACGTTTTTTACATATAATATATTACAATAAATTAGATGTTTAAAAGTGATTCATATTAAAAAAGTCCTCTTCATAAAAGCTGCAAATAAAGCTTTTCTAATTGATTTGATTATAAAAGCACTATACCGTAACTAATTTGATTTTCTGCAAATTTACTTACCTTATTTAAAAAATAAGATTCTCTAAAAAATATTGTTTGCTTCTTTGCTAATTAACTAGAGTTTAAAAAAACAAGTTTAGCAATATTTAATAAAATATTTCTTCACTAAAATGTATGATGTTTTTATTTGTCTAAAAACAAATTTTTTATACTGAAACACGATGGATGATAAGATTTAATAAAAAATAGATCATAAGGTTTAATAAAAAAATTGCAACAATTCCATTTATCTGTTAATAATTTGATCTATTTTTATTTGTATTTGAAAAATTGGGACTTATGCTTAAAGAATAAAGTTGGAGTTGATTATAGTAAGATAAAAGAATAAATTCTGGTTATTATATTGAAGTTCGCTTAGTATTTTTTTAATAATGAAGTTTCTATTAATGGTTAAGGAAATACATTTTCTTGAAATGTAAGTGTTTTAAGGAAACAATAAGAAATAGAAGATTGATTTTTTGGTGTTTTATTAACATATTTACAGCGTGCTTCATTTAAATCACATATGAGTAAATGATCGCAAGCGTCTAATTTTATAACTAAGAAAATTAAAAATATTATGAGGAATTTAATAATATTAGCTAATAAGACTAATTTAAAAAATATTGATGTCTTTTGATAAACATTGGAAAATTGACAAATTTTACACTGTGGATTATGTTGATATACAATGATAAAAATTTATCTTCTTATAGTTCCCACACGTAGAAGTTTAATCGAAGATTATGAAAGCGGGTGCGCTTTTGTAGCACTCAAAGTATTTCTCTTCAATTGAGGATAAGATAATAAAGTACAAAACTGCATAAAAAATGTATAAACATGATAAAGAAAGCATAATAAACAAAGCAATTAAGAAGTAAAATTTTTTTTTCAGTGTGATCAGTATTTAAGAAATTTTGAATGCTTGGAGCAATGAAATCAATACAAATTTTATGTGTTATTTTTATTTTCTGTGTAGATTCTAGTTATTCATTACTTTTTTCCGTTAATATTATAGCCATTTTTGCTTATAGCATCAATCAATAACTATTTTTATGTAATTGTTCTTTGTTATAAAGTTTGTCACAACTCTAACTCTTGTCATAAATGTTGATACATGTGTATCAGGTTGCCAAAAAATGAATAATGATTTAAAAATAAAGAATTAAAGAAAAACGAATGAGAGTGAATAATTAGGTTTGTTGAGTTTCAGTTTGATCATTTATTCTCACTCAGTTTAATTTTTTTGCTGCAAAATTTATCAGAAATGGCGCTTTTCCCTGAGAAAACAATGAAACAATCTTTTAAAACAACCTTCATCTGCAAAACAATGTTTTGCAATGTACGGACAAATTTAATTAACACCGCTGCGAAACTTTCCATTGAAATGATTTGATATGCAATAGAAGTCAATGTTATGTTTTCAACAGCGTCATATGTTGAGGAATTGTAACTACTTAACGAGCAAATGAAGGATTTTCTTAACTTAGCACAATCATAAATTTCCAACCTTTTTTTTTCCAATTGATTTTACAGTCGTAAATCTGTTTCTGGACACCTGGAATCTTATAATTCATTTTCCACTTTAATTTAACTTCAAGGCAAACTAATTTTGTAAGGAAAAAGTAATACCTATAAGAAATTAAATCTAACAATTAATTTTCAGAAATAGTTGAAAACGTGAAGAAATCACAAAAGTCTCCATTTCGTCCATTACTCGAGAAAGATGCCTGTGATGAAGAAGTTATTCACATGATTAAAAAATGTTGGACAGAAGATCCTACAGAAAGACCAGACTTTCAAGCATTAAAATCAATCATCCGGAGGCTAAATAAGTAATTATCTTTCTTCCATTTTGTGAGTTTTGATTTGTTTCAATAAGGTTTTCTTTGAGTCGCAAATAATGAAAATATTTATGGTTTAGTTGAAAGGCTGAAGGCTTTAACTAGAATAACAAAATTTACCCTTTTGTTCAAACTAATTAAATTTTTGTTACGAAAAACTTTTATAATATAAATTTAAGAATGTTCTTGAACTTTTTGTTTTTAACTTGGGAAATGCAAGAGTCAAATATTTTAAAACAGAGAGTTTGTATTTTTTTTCAAACAGTCCGTAACAATTTCAAATTTCTACTTAAGTTTTTTGTAAGTTCATTCTATAATAGTTTATACATAGAAAATGACAAAAAATTAAATTAAGCTTTCAACAGCGAACATAGTGTTTGTTTCTTTCGCATGAAAAAAACGCCTTTTATTGGTTAGCCAACGTTTAACCAATGCGCTACTCTTAAAAAATGTCACTTTCAATCTTGCTCCAGCACGAACCGAAATTCTACCTAACAGTTGTTGTTGATAAAATAGATCAAGTTCTAGCAAAATGCTTATTGTCATACAACTATTTTTACCCAAAATATGATGTTGTATCTCAACGTTAACAGATTATTTATTGAAATGAAACTAAATTTTATATATAAAAACTAAATTGGTTGCTAAAATAATGAAATTTAGCTTCGATTTTATTTTAATCAATTTCCACACTTCCACAACAGATACAGCACAATCTGCTGTACTCAGCCGGCAGTGAACGCGATAAAAATATAATTAAATAAAACATAATGTGTGTTTAAATTATCATTTTTTTAATGACACTTCTGCTACTATACAGTACTATAAAACTTTTATATAACTTATTTTGTTTTTACCTAAACTAATATACTTAAACATTGATTCCACATTCAATATTTTCTAAATTTTATGTTTAACTTTGCGAATCTCGATGAATTCGAAAAAAAAGTGAAAGCACGCAACTTCAAAATTCCGTAAGAAAATTTGTTTTCCTAGAAGAAGCTTCTTATTTTCCAGGGGCAATGGCAACGGAAATATTTTTCATTACTTTTTATCATGGAATATTTATATTTCATGCGTCTTAAGCTAAAAATAAATATATTTTGGGGGAAAAAATGTTTGCTACTTCGATTATAACCTTCAAACTTATATTAAAAATATAATTACATTATGTATACGAAATATCTTTTAGATAGAAATGTATATTTCTTGTATATTTTTGACTGAAGGCACTATTCTCCCAAAAATGCACATTTTAGCTTGATGACTTAATGTATTTCAATACCACATATTAACAACTTGTAGGCTAAGAACAATGGGACCATCACCAACTTGGCGTTAAATTTTGCAATTTAGCAACTTTGGTGACAATTTTGGCGATAAAAGCATTATCTGCTTTCTCGAAATTTTGAAGCTTTAGATGTTTTAGAAAGCGGGTTATCCGAAAGTTCACGAAAGGGTTGAGCGTTTTTAACCTTCAAAAAAGTATGTGATGGTCCATTTTTATTTTAATAGGCAAATCAAGCACTTTTAGTTATTCAGAATCCCATATTTAATTCTAAAAGGCAGAATTAATTTGTTGAACAATATCCGTTCATTAACACTTCGGCTGCTATATATTAGAATGAAATTTTGGCATCTCTTATACTGTGCTCTTAGCCAAACTTAGGTTTTCTCATTCAATGTTTCTTAAATTTTATGTATAATTTTCCAAAGCACGAAAACATTTATTCAGAACAAAAATTCGCAACTTTAAAACTCCAAAAGACAAAGTTTTTTTTTTCAGAAAGAAACTTTTGTATTTTCTAGGGACAATGACAGCGGGAATATTTTGGATAATTTACTATCTCGAATGGAACAGTATGCAAATAACTTAGAAGCCCTCGTAGAAGAAAGGACTGCAGATTATTTGGAAGAAAAAAGAAAGGCAGAAGATCTTCTCTATCAACTGTTGCCAAAGTAAGGCATCAAGCATTGCATTAAAATAATTGCCTTCCTCTCAAGATTTTCTCATCCATTTTATTTTTGGTCTTTTTTTTATCTGTGCGTCGTTAGTGAGAAAAACTGCTTTGCGAATTATCTTTAAGTAATTTTCTGAACGACGCTATTTAAATCTATGATAGTTTTATTGATTCTAAAAATAGTTTTCTCTCCAAAAAGTCTACTTTGAAAGTTACGCGTTTAAAAATGATTTTTTCAAATCTATTTAGCAGATTTCACCCCCTGCTCATTTTTCTCAACAACTCTTGTAATTGCTTTTCATTCATCTTATTTTTGCTAACAGAGCATGTTTTTAAAATATATAATTATTGTTGTTTTATATAAGATTTAAAAAAAATCGCATAAAATAATCATCGATACTTAAAAAAGGGAGCCAAAGGAATACGAATTGTCTGACTAAAAAATAAATAAGAAGTAATTTGACTCTGTTTTTTTTCAGGTTCTCATGATTGTTATCTACTTGAGTGTGAGTTTATAATATTAAAAAAAAAGATTTTTTTAGGGAAAAATAAGTTCATCAGTGGATAAATAGTCAACATTTAAAGCAAAAAAATGAAGGAAATTTACTTAAATTTGAAATAGTTTTCGAACAAATTGAAATTTTGAAACAACTCACGTTATGTTAGCAAGTAAAAGTGGCTCCATCAGCAAGTCAAATTTTAGTTCCACAGTTGATCTCCAGTGGGTTACAGATTAAACAAACATGGTATTTTTTTTACACGTTTACCAAAAAAGTTCTCGAACAAGTAATGGAATCTTATTTTATTTTTCTTACTTCTTATTTATGTACGAATTTATGCATTTTTTTCAAGATATCATCGTAATTTCAAGTTTTTAAGTCTCACAGATTTAGCACAGCGAAGAAAAATGCAATGTAAAGCAAAATATATAAAATTAAAAAATAAATAAAACTGAAAAATTCACAAAAATAACATTTAAAATAGCAGCAACTTCGAAAAAAATTGATATTTAAAAAAAAATACTGCATTAAATTTATAAGCAAATACGGTCCTTTCAACACGCCAAATTTCAACCCCACAGTTGCATTCCTGGAGTTTGCAGAGTGGCCGGCATGGTATTTTTTCCTTACATGTTTATCAGAAATTCCCGAACCAATTATCGAGTATTAGTTATTTTTTACCATCTTATATACCTGTATATTTCTGTATTTTTTTCTACAATAGTTCGTAATTTCAAGATTTTTGATCTTATCGTTATCGCTTTGCAAAACATAATGTAACGTTAATTACAGTGTCGGAGGCCCTTATGGCTTTTTAATGTACAGAGATATATGCTTAGATTTTATTTATGGTTTCTCTCAACATTAAATCATCTCAATACCATTATGCATTTTGCTGAGAAATTGTTGCCTTATTTAGCTATTTACTATACAGAATATTTTATTATGACCTTACTAAACATGTATATTTAGAATTTTCACCAAAACAATATATATGCTAAGAATCGCGGATTTATATATAAACGAGGAAAAAAACAAAAACAGTATCTAAATATAATGAAATGCTTAAAAACAGAAAAATGAAAATTTGATAACTGAAAGAAATAGAAAAATTTAAATGCAAATAACAGGAATACTTTCAAATTTCATTAGAAAACAGCAAATCAAACTAGTTTTGCTGTTTTTCTTACGTCTTCATTAATTTGTCGATCACACATTTTGATAGTTTTTTAATGTTTTTTCCTAGCTTAAATATTTATTTGCTTTCCCTGATGAGCTTACTTTTTTGACAAAGATTCATAAAATAAATATATTTAAGGTTGATGATTATAAAAAACCTATCTACAAACTTTATATTGCGTTTGAAAATCAAATAAATATGTTAAGCAAAACCTCTTTTTGCTCACGAAAAATATAAAATCCGTTAAATTTAGTTTTTTTAAGCACGTCAGATGGATTTAAATATTTTATTTATGTTTGTAACTAAGCAAAAAAAAATTTTTATAAAGAAAATTGTTTTACAATTTTTTATGACTGTACTAAAATGAGTTTAAATCAATAAATTCTTTTAGAATTTAAAAAGAGTACTACAGGATTATTATGTATTTCTTGGAACATAATACGTGATAAAAGTAATTGTTATTATTATTAAACAAAAGCAGTTTAGTTTAATACATAAGTTGACTTTTTTTCATTTAAAATTATCATCTCTCCCGTGATTTCATTAAAAAGAACTAATTTATTTTGCTTGATTTTTTTTACTTTGTTACACATGAAAATTTGTTCAGAAATTTTAACTTTGCACAACAATGTATTTATTTATAGCTAATATTAATTTTAAATAATATTAAATTAAGTTAATATTAAATTAAGAACACATAATAGTTAAAATATACTTTTTAAATGCAATCGAAATGAAATTAGAAAAATAAACTTACTGCAGGTGACCTGGAAAAAAAATCTTTTGTAGCCTAAGTAACAAAACTACTTACACTGAGACAAAAGATGTAGTTAAAAATATCACAATACAGTAAAATTTACCGTGTTTCTGGCTCTATGGAAACACTTAAAAGCTCGGAAATTTTTACAGAAGTGCTTTGGTAATGAGTTTGGTAACATTAACAACAAAATTTGGTTAATTTGGTAAAATTGTTGTTAATTTGGCAATTAACAACAAAATAAAGTTTTATAATATGAAATAAAATTTGATAAATGTGGTGATATTTGGTCATTTTATCATTATACATTAGAAAATGGTATAAAAACCAATTATTTGTCTCAATTTATACTTGTCAGTCCTTTCTTCCTTTTATTACAAAAGTGTGGTAATAGAAACAATACTTTTAAAGCCGTTACGGTAAAGCTTCAAAATGAGTGGTTAAATATAGTACATTATGGTTTTATCCACCAGAATTATGATTTTTTTTAACCATAAATGCCATCATCATTCATAACTGTAATTTTACAAGAGATTTTTCTTTGTGTTAGATATTCCCTGTACTAAGGAATGTATTTTTCCTAAAATTTGAACTACTATTCCTTATTTTTCCGGAGGAATATAATATTTTCTTTTTTTAATATTCACTTCAGATTCTTAAAATCATCAATTTTATTTTTTTTTTTATCAGATCAGTGGCAAGTCAGCTTATAAGAGGAGAATCAGTGACAGCTGAAGCATTTGATGGAGTAACCATCTATTTTAGTGACATCGTTGGATTCACAGAAATGTCTGCAGAAAGCACGCCTATGGAAGTAAGTTTTTACCACAGAATCTCTGGTAAAACAACACCTTTTTTTACATCTTTTTTTACGCTGGAAGAAAACGTCTAAATGACTTTAACATGCTAAACATAATATGGTTTTAATTTGCTTCAAAATTGTATTAAATTGAACCGCAATATTACATTTTATTAGATTAAGGAATTTTTCATCTTTAACGGGAATTCGATTTTGTTTATTGATTAATTAGAGAAAACACAGCGGAAGCAATTGATGGAGTAATTAATTATTGTATAGGCATCTTTAAATTCTCAAAAATGTCTGCAAAATTTACGCCCATGGAAGTAAGTTTTTTTTTACCACAGGACGCAATATTTTACGTTTTTTATCTCTTTTTACACGGGTAAAAAACGTCTTAATGACTTTAACAAGCTTAACCTAATATTGTTTAAATTTATGTTAAGGTCTACCGTAATATCATATTTATTAGATTTTATTACAAAAAGCACAAAAGGATGTGTCACGGTCATGATATTATGGTGCAATGTTGAACTTATGTTTTTCTGAGAGCGCAGATTCGTTTCTAAAGTTCAGCGAAAGAATTTTTAACAAATATTAAATTACTTTATGAAATTACTTTTATATAAATTACTTTAAACTTTAAATTACTTTAAAGTAAGAAAAATGTATCGAGAGAATAAGTTTTTGACGAATATTTGCTTCAAACTTCAAACTATGGAAAATTATTAAACAAAAACAAAAGTTATATTATGAAACACATGTTAAAAATATTCTGTCTAATTAATTGAAACTGTAAACACTAGAAATAGCATATAAGTATAATAAATTCGTAATATGTTCGATCGAAGTTTTTTTTTTATTTCTTACTCTCATGTTTATGTGTACGAAATAAATATAATGCTTTTTGATAGCAAAATAAGTTCATTTTCAAAAATATTTTATTCAACGTATGCTTTTTTTTATTGGATACATTGTTATATCAATACATTTTATTGAATATTAAGTAAAATTTCTGAAATTGTTTTTTGACTCACTCATCCACAATTTATTAATAATAATATTTTGCAATCGAACGTGTTTTTTTAAAGTTAATATGAAAAACTAAAATTAATAGAAAATTTAATTTTCAATATTTAAAATACGTTTGTAATTAAATTTGGATAAATTAAACTTACAATCTATTCTAGTTGAATAAAAAAAACTCAATTATTTTTTATACCTTAAGGCAATTGTTTCAGAATCAAGCAAATATTCATCGCTGTTTAAGCATTCAAATAATTTTAATGAGCGAATTTTTAATGAATAATAAATTTTCCCTGAACAAATAGATCAAATGAAGTTTTGAAAAGCTCTTCATTATTACTTCAAATTGATATCACGATTTTATAGAAATTAATATTTATTTTCAACAAATTTAACATTTGAAGGCCTCTATGACTATAGGTCAAATTGATAACTATGTTATAAAAACAAACATTTTGTATATTTACATATTCCAATATTAAATTATGTACTACGATTTTATTTAATCAAAAGAATTATTATTTTACAAATTCATTGATTGATTTTAAAGAAACTATATAATTTTTAAAAAAACTACGCGTGTAAATGATTTTGTGTATATTTTAGTTTATTTGCTCAAAACCATGGCTTACTGAAAAGCTGTTATCTGTTTATTCTGAAAATCGTTGACAAAACCACAATGAAATACTTGAAATTAATTAAAGTTTAGAATAAATATACTTTTTACTTGATTATTCTTTTCATTCAAAAACAGTATTAGAAGATTTAAAATATTTAGTGCTTAAAAAGGATTATTATGGAATGATTTAGAAATTATCCCATAATCAACCGTAAAATTCTTATTTTCCTTATTTTCTAGGTGGTTGATTTGCTAAATGACCTTTATACTTGTTTTGATTCAATCATTGAAAATTTTGACGTATATAAGGTAAGTAGAATCATTTGAAAATTTTGAATCATTTGTAAATTTGTTTTCATAAAATCACTAATAAAATTTTGCTCATCATTTTTAATAAATATACATTTTTTCTTCTGATCACACAACATTAATTTATTCGCACTTTAGTTTTTTCAACAGAAGTTACAATTACAAATGTATTTCTTCTTAGATAAGAAATGGCTAAGTCAACAATGATATTCTCGTTTAGTATGCGTTTGCTGCTGATTACGCTTTAAACCTTCATAAATCACCTCTTATCCGCATCATCAATCTTATCCGCGGCAACAAGTAACAAAGATTTCATGTTGCGTTTAATTGATTGTATTTTGAGTTGATTACTACTAACTTTTATTCACAATCGTGAAAATATATAGCTTTTTATCTGTTTTTTTTGTCCTAAATAAACTGGGCTATAGCCGTGTAGAAGAACTTTTTGAGCTTATCTGCATTCCTATCTTTCTAAATCAAAATTTTTCTGCGATCAATTGGAGACTAATATTATAAAAATTAGACTTACTCAAACTTATAGCAAAATGTGAATTTGCTAGTAGTATATAAAAATTAACTAAAAGAACTGTAACTTTAAATTTAGGTTGAATCGTGTGTAATTCGACCTAAAAAAGATGTTATGAAACCATTATTAAAACATGTAACTAACTAAAAAAATATTAAGTTCGAGATTTATACAATAAATATATCTAAGATATATGCACATTGCTCACGAAACAATTTTAGACAGCTTTTGAAAAATTTTGCTCACCCAAACCTCCGAAGTTTGCACTTGTAAACATAGGATAAATAAAAAATCTACGCATTTTTTTTTCAATTTTCCTTTTAATTTAAATTTGAAATTAACTCAATAATACCTAAAAAGGAAAGAACTTTAAATAAAATTCATATTTGAGGCATATAAATATCAAATCCGATTATATTAAATATAAAATCAAATTAAGATATCAAACCGGATATCAGATTATCTCAGATTCAAAACTGGAAAAGTGGTAGCATTTTAAAATTTAATAAAATTTTTTTATTAACTAAATGAGATCTTTTAGCCACCTTTTTTTTAAATTTTAAGTATGTTTTCAATCCGTATGAATGTATTTCAATGAATAAAATTGAGCCAAAGCCTACAGTAAAAACTTTTTCCTACAAACTTTAGCTTCCGTAACCGCTTTATCCAAGCACTGCGCACAGGTTGCATCTACTTGAAGAACTGCTTCAGAGGGGACAGACTTCAAATTCATTTGACTGATTCATTTTTGCTGACAAAAAGGGAGAGATAATTCCTGATCATGGGGATTAGCGAAGCATCAATATGGATATAATAGAAATTCTTCTCTTGATTTCTATTATGTTCAGCAATTTTATTTATAATAAAAATGAAAAAAATAAATGGGGATTGTATTGTTGGCAGTATTATTATTATTATGAAATCTGAGAAAAAAAATAATCGGCAGATGGCATGATTAGCTGCTGCACCCACTGCTGTGAGGGTTTCTGCTACCAAGGTTTTGTGTAACATGAAGGCACTACAAAAATTTATCATAATTTATTTTGCTGATCAAACGAGAATATTTCAAGTAGTAAAAGGAATGAAACACGTTATACTTCCTCTCAAAATGGGACACGTTAAACATGAAATTTCTAAAAGTGGAATATGAAAACCTAGTACAATCAAATCCCACTATAGTGAACATGGTTTATAGTGAACTCCCGGATATAGTAAACGAAATGTTCTGTCCCGTGCTTTGCTATACGCGTATAATGGTATTTTTTGTGGATATAGTGAACCAAAAAAGTGAGGAAGATGGATATAATGAACTTTTTTCTGTCTTCGACTGATTTTTTTCTTTATTTTTTTTTTGCAATAATTTTGAAATTTCTACTTCAAAATAAATGCATATACCGATTTTTAAAGCCATCTATAGAGGGGAATGTAGCGATAAGCATTTTTTCTTGTTTGCTTCTTTTATCTCACTTTCCCATCCCTAAACAAACCAAGCAGATGTTTCCAACCCAGGCAGATGATATACCTGAAGGGAGTCAGGGGGATCAATATGCATTTTCTGTCAGAGGGAATGAGTATTTATTCATTATTGGTCAAAGGGTTGGACACTAATATGCGTTGATAAGGCCCTCATTTCAACTCCTTTTTGCTCACAATTCAGTTAAAAAAAATCCTGCTAACAAGTGTCTCAAGTTTAACTATGACGAGCAGTAAACGCAAAACGTTCTCCATTGATGATAAAATGGGCGTAATTAGAAAAATTTAAAATGGATGCAATCAGGCCGATATTTGCTTGGGAATTTAAACTATCCAAATCTGCAGTTTGTAACATATGGAAAAATAGGCAATTAATAATTTCTGTTCATGAAAAAAATTTAGATGGCAGAAAAAAGTTTAGAAAAGTAGATCACAAGGATGTTGAAGAAGCTTTGCTGAAGTGGTTCAACATTCGAAGAAGCCGCAATCGCCCAATATCTGGACAAATGTTGATGAATTTGCAAATATCAGTTTTATGAGACTACTTTTATGTGCTCGAATGGCAGGTAAGACAGGTTCAAAAAGCGGAATAACAGAAATTTAGGAAAAATTATCTGAGTGTCGGGAAGTGCTTCCTTATCTGATGTTAAGGATTGCTCATCAGCTAAAAATAACTATTTCTTTTTCACGCAAGTTGAAGACTAATGAAAAATATCACATTTTTTGCTACTGCATAATATTTTACAGTTATTTATTTGAATAATGTGTAATAAAAGGGAGGAGTTTGGGTACCATTAGTTAAATTACCTGCGTAACGGATATGGTGGACTACCGGCTATAGTGAACCGAAATTTCGGTCCCTTGAAGATTCACTATAGCGGGGTTTGATTGTATTTTATTTATTGTCATATAATTGTCACTTAAAATCAATATTTGAAGCTTGTTCATAAAGTAACTCAGTTTTGTCAGTGTGAAAGGAGAATCTTATAATCAAAATTTTCGACCTATCTATGAATGGTTAAAAGTCTGCTGAAGCTCTTTTCAGGATCCCAATGAAAATACCAATCATTTCACAAACGCTACCAGCAGAAATGTTTGCTACATTATGATCAAAGAAAGGTCACTTTAATTAAAATTTCGACTTCTATTCGACTAAAATTTCGGCTTCTATTATCAAGAATTCTTAAATAGCGAAAATAGTTGGGATAGCTAAAAATATGATCCCTTCTTGACCTTTAAAACCAGAATTTTTCCTCAAGTAGAATCGATTGTTAATCGAAATTATAGCCAATTTCTGACAAGCTTTAGTATTCAAAACTTAACCTGGGCTTTGTGTGTTGTTGCAAAACAGTTTAAAGTTGACTTTCAAATGTTTCAAGGAAATGTATCGCAATTTGTTGCCAAATAAAATGTTTGCCACTTTACAAAAAAATAAATATATAAAAAGCTCATCGTCCCCCCCCCAAAAGGAAAAATAATTGAAAATAAAAAAAATAGGAACTATGTCTTTCAAGTGAGTTAAAAATATTTTATCTTTGTCATGTCTGAAGCAAAATCAATAATTCTATAATAAACTTTAATCTCTGTCTAAAATCTCCTTGATGTCTTTCGAAAATGATGTACCTTACGTATGCAACTAAGAAAACCAAACCAAAAACATAAGATGAAAAACTATTTCACACAAAATTATATAATTCATTAATTTTCTTTACAGTTTGATATAACTTTATTATTGCAGCTTAATTAAATTACTGTATTAAAATTTTACAGATAAAATTTCTTTTTAACGATCATATAATGAATTTAAAGAGTGACATTTTGGTATTTTTTAAAATTTGTTTATTGTTACAAAACTAAACCATTGGAATGGATATGCTAAAAATATTTATTTAATACAAAACTTTAACCTTAATAAATTTTCTCGCACTTAAATAAGATCTTAGACTTTCGAATATTTTTATATGTTCAGTATAATATCTCTTCCTAACTTGGAATTTATTTAATTGTCTCTAAAAATAGACCTCAGTTTAAAATGACATGAAGAGAGAAAAATCGCAAGCGTTTAATAAGACAATCTTTTGACAGTGACCTTTTCATCCTAGAAACTTTTAGTGTCAGATGGAATTATTTATAGACAGGTGTCAGGTAAAGTGATTTAGAGAGAGTGAGATACTATAGTAAGACTAAAAAAAATCTGTATCCTATTTTTAGATTTTCGTAATGATAAAAAATTGATGATAAACGAGAAATAATAAAGGCACTATTATGTTTTTTTTTAATGTAAGCGAAATTCACATTTTTAGTTAAAAAATTGATTATAGGTATCGTACATGAAGAAATTTTGCCGAAATATTAAAATTGGATGAAAAAATCTCAATGCTACAATATAAAATATTAAATATAGAAAATGCAAAAATACACGGTCTTTAAAATATCTGAATGATTTAAACTAATTTTATTCTCAGTATCTTAATTATTAAAATTCATTATACAAATTAAATTTATAGTAAGAGTTAGTTAGCTAATTCATTATACAAATTAAATTTATAGTAAGACTTAGTTAGAGTGAGTTATTTTTGCAATTTTGGAATCATGATCTTTTTTCAAAAATATGAAAAAAATTTCACAAACTGAAATCTGGTAAATTTATCGTACTATATAGTAGCAAAATGTTTGGTAAAACACAACAACATTATTTTGCTAATAACCGTTTTTGTAAATATATGGTTTATAAACCATTCATTTAATAATTTTTCCGTTGATATGGTAACGGTTTACTAAAAATTCTGGTCTGATACAAAGCTGAAAAGTAAATTTAATCACTTCTAAAGATTTTAAGCAATCTTCTAAGATAACATGATAAAATAACCAAGTTTTATCACATATTATAAAACCATTTTTTCCCTAATTTTACTAAACTCATTTCCGAAGAACTTCATTAAAAATTTCCCAGCTTTCTGGTGCTCTCATCGAGCCAGAAACAAGGTAAATTTTATCGTATTCAGGTAATTTTGACCATACGTTTTTATTCAGTGTCATTGGTATTGTTTCGTGTGTTTTCTATTCGAAAAATGATTGCTAAACGTATAACTATTTTATACGTATCTAATAAAATCAAATAACTAATATAACTTAGTATATTTGTAAAAAATATTTATTTGAATTTAATTTCCTCTAAAAAGTACTACTGCAATTAATAACTTCCATTTTTCGAAGAAATTAAAATTTAAAGATGCGTTTATACTTATCACGAGACAAGATTCTTTCCTACAGTTTGTGTCTATAAAACAGAGAAAGTGGTTACTAGAAGTATTGGTAGATTTATTTAAAAAAAACTTATTGTGAAATTTAAAAATTAAAGTGGTTGCAAGAGTAGCAAAATTTAATGAGAAAAAGAAACAATTAAATAATAAAATTTAATAAATTTCGATTAAATTAAATAAAATTGAATTAAACTATAAATTACCAATCTTCAATGATAGATATAGATACCTTCTACACTCGGCTGGTAATACGCATGTTAATTCGTCATTTATCGGTAATTAGTTTTTATACGAAAATATGAGAGGAAGATAGAACTTGGTTGGTAAATCCAGAGATGTTTCGATTAATTTTTAAAGAAATTGCATACCAAACACTCTCCCTTCCCCCCTTTAAATGTGGAATTTTTTAGTTTGTTAGGAAAGGCTTAAACATTTAAATATATTAAACAAAACTCCACGAGTAGATTTATGAGGAAAAATTATTTTCTTGAATCATATCAATGCATTTATGCTTTAACTTAGATGCGTTATTTAAAAAAAATATTCATGAAAGTTAATTACTTAAATAATATACTTTATTGTGATACCTATTTAATTCTCTACGAATGAGAAAGGTATTATAGTGCATATTATTCAGTAATCTTAAAAGCATTTATATTTATTTTTATTTATTGCAAGATAAATGAAACATTGAGTTTTATTTTAAGACAATAATATTTTTCTCAATTTACTGTCATTGCTTTTATGTGATTGAGCATATCATATACCTATATTTCAACAACAATTGTAAATATTCATGCAAAGAAATGGGGCACTTTTTGTTTTTCTTATGATTAACTTATATAATGATTGATGAGATTCGAATGAATATCAGAGTTATAATAGCACATTTTAAAAGGGTTTACTCCTTACTAGTAATAATAAACCGTACTTCAAATAGAAGTTTAACTAACCTGACAAACGCAAAAAGCAATGTGGGCTAAAGCACCAAAGAAAGTACATGAATTAACATATTATAGTTTCAACCAAAAGTATTACCTTTTTTTTGTTGGATAAACTAACCTGGCTTTGTTTATAAATGTCTAATGCTTGCCCCTTATCGTACACTATATGACATACATACAGCATTAAGTCGAATTCACCATATTAGAAGAGTACGAAGAAATACTACCTTGTTGTTTTTGCAAAATGTCAGCTCCTTATCATTAGGCGGTTTGTGTTTTTTCAATAGTGAAGAGAGAATCTGTAACTTCAGTTAAATGTGGCTTTTTCTTCAATCCTTAATTGTAATCGATCATCCAGCAAAATCATTAACTGATGCTCTTTAAGACTATTTAACTGATTGATGAGATTTTAAGATTAATGTAAGTCATATACACTGCAAAAAATTCCGCATCAAAATTACGATAAAAAGTACCGGCAATCTTGGTGTTGGTACGAAATATGTTAAGAAACAAAAAAATCCGATATTTTGTAATTTTTACAGTAGTAATTACGAATTAATTTGTGCGATTATTGAAAATTTGCGAAGAAGAAAACTAGGCTAATTTATATTCAATTTGGTAACTATTTGTCATAAAAAGTATAAACTTATCTGTTAAAATGTATTATTAAAACTGGAACACTCTTTCTTTAACACAATGTTTAATATCCATTTATTTATAGGTTGAGACCATAGGGGACGCCTATATGGTTGTGTCGGGTTTACCTGTTAGAAATAGCAATCTTCACGCCAGAGAAATAGCAAGAATGTCATTAGCTCTACTTAATACTGTGAAAACATTTACTATTAAACATAGACCCCAGGAAAAATTGAAACTAAGAATAGGACTCCACACAGGTAAGATCTTCAACTTCTCTTAAGCTTCACTAAATATACAACAGTACTATTTCTTAAAAGTTTCATTATAGAAAGTCTAATGTCACAGGACCTTTACTTGTAATAGCAGCATATTCTTATTCGCTTAAGTTTAAATTCCGAGCAATAATTTATTGTTGTAATGAAATTAGATACTGCACTATCAACTTTTCATTTTTTTTTCATTTAATGTGTTGAAAAGTTTAACAACAATTACTTTTATTTAACAAAAAAAAATTAAAATTAAGTTGTTAAAATCTAAATGATAAAAAATCACTGAGGCGTGATATAAGTCTTTTTTTTTCCTTTAATCAAGAGATTCGGATGAAATTAAAAAAAAAATGGGACATTGAGTTTTATTCCCGTTTATCGTTGACCACATTTTTCCAGTTTAATTTTATTGATTTATTTAATAAGTTTAAAATAAATCTAAACATAATGATACGTATTTAGCTCACAGAGCTCAGCTGGTAGGTCTTTTGTCAGGCAATGAGGCAATTCAGGTACAATAACAACTTCGGAAGAAGTAATTGGTAAAATTACCTTACCGTATGGTTATAACATTTCTGGTATTAAGACAACCCTAAATCTGGTAAAGAAGATCAAAATATGCTGTATTTAAGCCTTTCATTTGGTAATTTCCCTTTCATATGTTAACGGTTTCCTGGAAAGTTCGAGTTTCAATTTCTTATTAATACACATTTCGTAAATAATACGAAACTGAAAAGTGAATTGAACAGAATGGATGATTTTTATGCCATTCTTTAAGACATTCCTAAAAAGAGAAATTTTATCACAGAAATTTAAAACTATATTTTATTATTTATTTTACCAGAATCATTACTGAAGCACATCGGTATAAATCACCGAACTTTTGAGTGTTTCTATAGAGACAGAAATACGGTCAATTTTATCACATTCTGGTAGTTTTGACCACACTTTTTTTTTTCTCAATGTGATCTGTATTCTGTTTTCAGTTTCACAGACAACAATACTGATGATTTTCTTGATTTTCCACTTTATTTAAGGTAACTTAATAAAAACATTAGCTTCTGTAAAAGTGAAAATGCTCGACCAGGAAGTGTCCCAGTTTTCTTCCATTGGTTTGAAAGTCATTAGGCTCCCGAGTAAAATAGTATTAGATGTCAAGTATGAGTGGATATTTAACACCAGTCATGAGTAGAAAAAAATAATATAAAAATACTATATGCATTGCCTTAAAATTCCTCGGTAAAATCAATGGAAATTCGACCATTTTTTTTTTAAATTTATAAAAGCTTATCAACATTTTAAATACGGCACTTTCTTTAAAATATAATGGGAAATGCCCAAATAGGGAGAAAAAATCATTTTCATTCAAATTATTGCATGCAACAATATTTATTAAACAGAGCCGTTGTGACTCGGAAAAAATCACTCGTCTCCCTCGTCGGTGAACCAAGAATCCATTGGAATCAAAAGAATCAAAATCCAAGAATCACACCAAGAATCAAAATCACTCGTCGGTGAACCAAGATCGAATCCAAGCAATGGCTTGTCGGAAAGAAATTCGCATCCGGTTTACACCAACCATAGTGCTGACGCAAAATATTTTCAGTGATGGTATATGGATCATGAGTTATAGTCCCCTTGCCATTAGGCTAACCATGAGTGGATTTCATGTTCTTCCTTTCCATGTTCGCAAATGTGGGTTAGTTCCATCAAAAGGAAATCAATTTTTTTCTATACTTGATCCAGGAGTTCCCTTGTCTTCTGGATTGCGCTCAAAATTAGTCTGTAGTGGTATAAAATAAACAACGTTTTAAAAATTCATAAAATCTATTTTTAAAATTTGAAAACAACATTAAACTTGAGTAGCATTTAAGCATTGAAGTTGTTTTCAGTTATTTAGGAAAATAACATAAATATTTAAATTTAGCGTCGTATTGCAGAAAAAAAGTTTGCACTAAAGTGACAGTTGCAAAATATACATTAAATTAATAGAAGAAACTTATTAATATACACAAATTTATCAATTAACAGAACGTGGATTAAACATGAAGAGAAATTCTTATAATATAGAAGTTATATGCCAATGAATAGTTTTAGAATAGAAATTTTTAAGAATTGATAAGCTAAACTATGCACGAAATAATAATGTATTTATTTCATTCTAAAATTAGTTTTATTTTATATCAAAACTTTGAATTGCGTTTGAAATACAATTGATTATAAATACAAAAGAAAATATTAAATGCCTTTGAACTATTTTTGTCTATGAAATGAATAAATATGATTCTGCTTCATATATAATAGAAACGTAAGTCTCTCAAAATTTTCTTATAAATCCCGTTTTGTTTAGAGATGTCTGGTTTTCGTTTCATCGTTTCGTTTAAGAAAAGCCTCACTTTTCAATACAAATACAATAGAAACTATATATATATGATAATTCTCTCCAAATATTTTATTCAAAGAAGAATGATTTATGTTCCGTTGAAGTCGAGTAAAAGACAAAATATTCCATTCAAAATATATTTATTATTAAACAATACATTGCTTTTTTTCAATTTCTTCACGTTTTCTATCTAGAACTACTATAGCAGTGGATCCCAACCTGGGGGCGATTGCCCCAAAGGGGCGATAGAGCTTCTCAAGGGGGCGATAATCCTTAGGGGGCGATCAGGGGGCGACGAGTACTCAAAAGATAAAAATTGCTAATAATATTTATAATAAAAGCTATTTGAGATTGAAATTGAAAATATATATGAAACCTATGGTTCTGGTGTAGACAAAGAATTATGATAGTTAAAAATTAAAAAAAATTCAAGTGCAGGATCGTTTTCGTCATACTATTTGGTATCGCAGGCGGGAATTTGATAAGTCACTCTGTTCCTCTGAACAATAATACTGTTTCCAGGCGAATTGATGAGATGGCCGTCGACATTGAATCAAAACTCATTAAATTTCTGAAAGAAGGTAAATTTGCGTTGCAGATTGATGAATCAACTGTGATAGATAACAAAGCTGTTTTAGCTTAAGTGAGATTCATAAATGAGAGTAAGGAGATTAACGAGGACATGTTGTTTACATGAACTTTGAACACAGATACAAAAGGATCGTCGATTTTTAAATTGGTCAAAGATTATTTTGAGGTAAAAGAAATTCCCCTCACAAATGTAAGTGCTTGTGCAACAGATGGTGCTCCAACCATGTCTGGTTGTTATACTGGGTTTCTGGGTCATCTTAATAAAGAAGTACCGGAAATTATCTCACCATTCATTATGTCATTCATCGTCAACTTTTGGCTGCGAAAAATTGGTTATTTCTGGCATCAATAAAATAAAAGCTAATTCTCCTAATAACCGTTTGTTCCGAGANAACAAAGGAAGTTCTTGACAATGAAGATTTCGAATTACTGCTCCAACATACAGCTGTGAGATGGCTTTCAAAAGGAAACAGAGCCATTTCTTCGAATTGCTGGATTCGGTTACTGAGTTTCTCGACACCACTGATTCTGTATTAAGTGAGAGTTTGAAGCAACGCAAGTTGGAAACTGCGTATCTCACGGATATTTTCGAAAAAATGAACGAAATCCAAGTAAAACTTCAGGGAAATAAAATGAACATTATTGGCTAAGGAAATTATATCTTCATTCATCGCCAAGTTTGATATCTACAAGTAAAACATTGGTCGCAAAGAGCTAATGCAATTTCCAACTCTTAAAAAGTGTTCAATGGCTGATATCGAGATTCTCGAAAATAAAATCTTAATTTTTACGGATCACCTTGATCAGTTATGGAATCAAGATTTAAAGATTTGCTGAAATTAGAAATTCCGGATTGGATTTTCGATCCTTTCTCTTTTGAAGTTGTGGATAAGCTCACTTCCTCTTTGTAGACTGAGATTTAGATTTGAAGTATGACTGTGGGGTTAAAGTCGTCTTTAAAAAATACGGTTACGAGTTAGCTTGGGTAAAGCTTATGGACACTTATCCACAATTGTAGAAACAAACTGAGCCGCTTCTCATCTCGTTCCCGTCAACATATTTAGTGGAGAGAGGATTTAGTTCTGTCTTCCAGCTGCTCACAAAGCAAAGAGATAGGTTGGACATTTGCTTCAAAGGAGACTTTAAATCTGACGAGCATAAAACCTGACATTCATGCTTTAACTTGAAATACACCAAGCACAGGGCAGTCATTGAAGTGGTGAAAGTGTACTTTCTCCCTCTTCATTTTTTTCTCAAATTTTAGTTGTTAACGATTTAACTTTTTCTTGATTACATTGAAATATGAATTTAAAAAAATGTACTTTTGTTTTGATTATTCCGTTTTAAATATCATTTCTTTTTGAAAAAAAAGATGCACAATTTTTTTTAATTAATAAATATAACAGGATAAATGTACCTTCTTATTTGCATTACAATTTAAATTAAAATCAAATAACATAGCATATTTTCAGTATTTGGTCGCTCACCAGCAATAATGAATGGTTTTTTGAGCAAAAAGAGAAAGGGGCGATATGTGTCAGCCAACCCCAAGAGGGGGGCGATGGTCCACAAAAGATTGGGAACCACTGTACTATAGTAAAGCATTTGTGATGTTTGCAGCGACATACAACAAGAAAAATTTTACGACATGGAATTATACAGTAATTTATATATTGAACTAAAAAATACAAAGTGAAAAATTACGCGAATGCAGAACAAATAAAGTACAGAAATACATATATTATAGTTTCCGTTCTCTAAACATGAACTTTTACGTTGGCTAAACACCGAATGATTATAGAAAAGTAACGACATAAACACGTGCAAAATGGTTTCACCAAAGTCATTTTGATTAAACTACTTTGCCCTTGTGTATCTCTTTACTTTTCTATTGCCCTTTAGTGTTTAGAATCTGAGAAAAGCTCTTGCTCAGAAAATCGAAACTATAGTATGTCCATTTCTATTCTTTATTTCTGCTTCATTCACGTAGTTTTCCCTTTTGCCTTGTAACACAAAATGTTCCTTATTCTCTTTTTAAATAGTAAATAAAAAAAAACGCAAAACTGCTTGGGTAAATTTTGCACAAATTACTTTATAAAATTGTGTTTCTATAAAAAAAATATCTAAAATAAAAGAAGCATAAAAAATAAAACAGTAAAAACACATTAAAGGTCGCAAATTTACATAAAAGTAATGGCAAAAAAGAAAAGAAATGATAGATTACAAAGTTTTGAAAATCACACCCGTTTTTTTTGTTTTTGTTTTTAATTTTAAAATTAGCCTTTTTATTGAAAGAAAAATGAATCTATGCTGAGGCAAACGTCAAAAAGTAAAGGTACTGCATAAAAGAAACTGTAATAGTTTTGAATTGTAATCAAACAGGATTTGATGTCTATTAATCCACTATCATGAATCGCATATTGTAAGATTTCGGTAATGGGTTTTGCGTTCCTTATTATTATATTTTTTGCTGATTTTTCGACAAAAAATTGTCAACATTTTTACTTTCACAATTTCATTAGGGTTCCTTTTTGATATTTGATTTCCGAAGTACATATTATTTATCTTTTACATATAGCAAGAATTTTGATCATTTACATTAAGCACTATCTGTATAAGTACTATCTGTATATATATATTTATTTAAAGATACATATGATACGTACTTGTCATTATTGAAATTGTTTGACCATTTTATAACTTTGAACGTTTTTAATTAACAGTTTTCTATTTTAAATTAATAGTAAAATTCCGCTAATCAATGATTATGTAGTTTATAGCAATACTTAAATTAAATATGATTTTCTTATTTGTGTTTAGCCTGTTCCTAAATAAATACTTTAACAAAAAATTTTGATGAAAAAAAATATATATTGGAATAAAAATAGTCTATTAATTAATAATTATTCTTTTTTAGAATTTATACTAAAAACTAATTTTATAACAAAACTAATTAAAAAAAATTTAGCACGTTGAATGCCACGCTAATTTTACATGACTTGCCCGTCTGACCAAAATGATTTTCTCAGTATGTATTGCATTAATTTCTTCAAACCATTTTAATAACGATAATAATATAAAAAAATTTAAAACATTAAAAACTTACTCGAATTATATGTTTCTAATTATCTTAGCTTCGACGGTCACCGGTGACTCCCTTGGTGCTACGAACAAACTCAATGCCAGCGCAAAGTAAACCGCTGTTTTAATCTAATAGTTTCAACCGAATTTAAAGAAAAATTAACCATGTAATTGAAAGTTTTTTTAATGATTTATTTTAGTTGTATAATTTAAATCAAGGGTTGTTAAATTATTAGTAACGATTAAAACTCAAATAGCTAAATTTTTCTTGTTAGTCCGAGATTTTTTTTCTAAATGCAGAAATTTAATGAAATACTAAACTATTATACTAACTTAATACTAAACTATTATACTAACTTAATACTAAACTATTTACATTTCAAATCCTTGGTTTATTATAATTTAAACATATGTGTAATTGACGTTACTCGTGGATAAATTGTAGCATTTGTTTACGTTAAGACTCAGCAGGCAACCAGGCTCAGTACTTACTTGTGACCTTTGCTTGCCCAAATTTAATCGAATCTGATAAGAAAAATAATTTAGCGAGATAATAAGCCAAGTCTGAAAAATGGAACGTTTACGTGCAGGACCAGGACCCGTGCTTTCAACCATGTGCTTTCCATGTACTTTCATTAGTATTCATCTCGGGTTGCAAGTACCCAACTATATTTTACAAACAACTATCTAACTTATTAATTCTCAGCTGTTTTATTTTCATTACTAAGATTCAAACAATTGTTGTTTATTACCGTTTTATTGAACATATTAAGAGAAAAAATAGATCCAATGGTCTTGAAACATAAAGATAATCATAGATATGGAATTGAGGATAAAAATATTTGAGAATCCGTATTTAGATGTTTGAAAAACCCTGTTTAGAGTTTAATCGATATTTGTATTTAATAGGACCATGTGCAGCTGGAGTAGTAGGACTTAAAATGCCTCGATATTGTTTGTTTGGAGATACCGTAAACACAGCTTCAAGAATGGAATCTACAGGATCGCGTAAGTTTAATTAAAGTCTTCTTCTGTATACTATTAAAATAACACTTAAAACCATTTACAAAATTTACTTTAATTTGTAATTACGCGTTTTATTTAACTAAACTCAGTGGCGCGACTGTCTATCGAGGGCAAGGACCTACTATGACAATCTCAGTCTTCTTGACCTTAGGCTCTGGGGTGCAGGAGCAGATGTTTTGGTTGGGTGGTCAGCCGAACGCGGAATCACCAGTGTTTAGTCCAAAAGCATTCATGTTACTCATTTTATAGACCTACTGAAAGGATGAAAGGTTGAGTCTACCTTTGCCCGGCCCGGGGAATAGGCCTCTGTGGCTCGAGAGCGAGAAGCCCTACCACTCAATAACGTCTACATGTTTTATTGGTTATGCTTATTCAGATACAATTGAAACAAAACGGAATCAATAAGACAAAACAGATTATCATATTTGCCGACGACGACATTTTGTAAGATATAAACTCTTAGTGGGGTGATCCTTAGAGAGTGTGCTCATATCTTCAGTTGAAAGGGGGCGTTAAAGAAATGATCTTGTAGTTTTAGAGGATGTAGTGTAGTTTAAAAAATAATGTAAGCTAACAGTTTAAGGTAGTAATTAAGTAGGGCAGTATTTTTTTAGATTTTGGCGTTAAATTCACCTATGATTACATTAATTTCTACTAAATCGAAATATATGAACTATTGCAAAATTTTAGTGTTCCTCTTTAATAAACAAAATTCTGATTTTCAGTTTTCTATTATTTAGCTATACATATATTGTTCAATTTATAGATTATCTCTAGTCTATAAAAAAAATCTAGTTTAAATGTTTGTCTATCATGAATACAGTGATTTAATGAGTAAGCGAATAGTTAAAAAATTTTGCGTGGCCGGTGTTTATTCAAAATATGTACTTTCTCTCATGTATGTATAAGAAATTGTATAAAAAAGTTTCTGGTGCAGAACATATGCTCAATAAAATCTTAAATATAGAGATATCAGAGATAACTCGAACAAAGAAACATGTGCACGTATTTGTCTTCGTTTTATGGTTTTTTTATGGACATCATGCTGGTTTTATGAATTTTTTATTATCTATACTTATTCTAATTATATAAACGTTTGGTGCAGTGTTTAGAAAAACTGCTGCAGGTTCCTTTTTCTATATTTATATTCTATTTTTCTAGCTTTACGCATACATTTGAGTACAAAAACAAAGGAAGTTCTTGACACTTTTAAGACATTTCTGTTAGAATGCCGAGGAGATATAGAAATCAAGGTAATTAGCTTTTATTATGGCATTTATCTAATGCATGGATGAATTGTTAATTATACATAGAAATCAAAATAATATTAAATCAGAAATAATTATACGCTCTGCTATGAATTGACATTTTACTGCTTTTGTGATGATCCCAAGCTTAGCGTTAAAAATTAACTTCATGTATTTGCGTCTCATGTACTATGCTCGAAATATAAAACGGACCACTCTAAATAATAACTTTTAATCTAATGATCGGATCTTCAAGTTCTAGCTCTCTATCTTAATGGGTCGAGGGGGGTAATCTCCAATATGATAATTAATTAATGCAGAGGATATTTTAGGCTACGAAATCTTTCTCAAAAAGCATTTTTTCAGAATAAACATACCGTTTTGTAGAAGCCACAAACTTGGAAATGTGATCCCAGTAGTTTAGTCAGGAGAGCTACCCAAAGTTTTACTTCTCGCATATTTCGCCATGTTTCGAGAAATGTTTAGGAGAATTAAAATATATTTACATGATACTATAAAATTCGTTTATCCAAAGATAATTCCATGCAAAAATTACGTTCAGTAAATATTTATTACTTTTTTAATATTTCATTTAATAATAGTCGAAAAAATATAGAAATAGTCGAATTGTAAGATATACAATTCTTATAAGTTATTCTATTATTCTTTTTGCGTATTATTCGTTTCTCTATTCTTCATTATTCTCTTCAAAATTTGAGCAAAATACTTCGAGGACTTTCTGAGAAATAAAATTTTGAAAAATAATTATTATTAAACTTCGATTTCTCATACAATATTGAATCGATTTCGCCATATCAAATTGTTTCTTTAGAATTATGGGAAAACTTTTATGTCTTACAAATAAAAATTGTTTTGCTTATTAAAAAGATTTAGTTCTAGAACGTGAATATCCTATTATTAGATCAAATGTTATTCAGGGTGATTCATTTTTTATTTTGCTAACTGTATATTTCGCGAACTGTACACTGAAGCATTAAAAACATTTTTCATTATATATCTTCTTAAAATCAGCCCTGAGAACTTAAATTTTGTAACTTTTTAGCTGCAATCGATTCAAATGAGAAATAGAAATATTTTAATAGATGAAGCATGAGTACAAAAGACATTACTTAGTGTAGTTTAATAGTTGAAATTAAAATATATATTTATACAATATTTATATGTTAAAAATAGAATATAATGTAATTTGCATGTATTTATTTATTATATATTTTTAGCCTTCTATTTATAGTGTTATGTGTGAAAAAACAGTTGCGGAAATATTGACTAAAAATAAGTAGATAAATGAAGAAGTCTACTCATTATTAGGGCAAATTAAAACCTTTGTGTCGTTTTGAAAAAGATTTCAAATTAAGCAGATGGAAAAACGCAAGTTAAAATTCAAAGTGAATGTGAGGAAATAATGTATGTTAAGTATTTTAATAAAATGATTTTTAAAAGTAATCATGACAAACAAGGCAAATTTGAACATATAATTCGAAAACGCCTTTGTAAATTTACAATGCAGACTATATAGTTGTTTTTAATCTATAAAGCTATAATTTTTTGTAGAATGTTAAGTTGCTTAAAAAAAATTCATTATCACTCGTCAAAAGACTAATTTTATTGTGAACAAAGAATAAATATTACTTTAGGAACGACACTTGATGTCATCAAATTGAATCTTAGTGAATTTAGGATTTAACATTTCTAAAAAAAATTACTCTGACACAAATATTTAGTAAAATGTTCGTAACATATTAATTTTGCTTTTATAGTTCTTCCAAAAGAAAGAAATTGTTACAACTAAAAATATGTACGACATCTAATGAAATTCTTCTTTATTATCTTTTAATTTATTGATTCACTATTTTTTCGCGAAACTTTTAACGAAAATTTAAAAATAACACATTTTGGATGTTCATCAAGAAAATAATAAGGGTTGGTGTTACTCTTTCTATGTCGGAAGTTTTAAGAAAAATTATATCAAGTCAAATATACTAAAATCAATTACCTAGGTTTTGAAAATTTTACCTTAGACATTTTCATCTGTTCGAGACCTCACGGTGTAAGAGTTTTAATGACCTGGTATTATTTATTTATATTTATAATATTAATATTTATGGCATGTATAGTACTCTTTTATTTTTTTCTAAATTATTAAGTTTTATCGTAAATTTCAGCAAATATAAATATATAATATTTTATTAATTTGTAGAATTTTGCAGAATATCAAATAGGGATCAAAAGTGTTAAAATGCACTTCCTTTACCCTTTAAATAAATTAAATCTTCCAATAAGAAATAGGAAAATACTTTCCAGAATACATATGAGGCTTTTTAAATATTTTCAACTAGGAATTCTTTTTCCATACATAAAATATTTACGTGAAACTGAGCATATCGATGCATTTTAAACAAAGTTTTACAAATATAGATGTTGGTTAAAAGTTAAATATTGATAATATTTTCTTCGGAAGACTATCTTTTTCTTTCAATTACTGTGACCGTTGGGTCTTTACGAAATGTTTCTCTTTATCCGTGGTTAAACTTCATTCCAAAAAGTTCACGGATCGATTTGGATTTTATTTTAAAAAAATAAAGGAAGTGTTATGAAGAAACTGGAAATATTTATAGAGAGCAGAGATTTGGAAACTACAGTTCAAAATGAAAGAAAAACATTCATGTAGCTAAGCTTCTGAAAGTAACATCTTTTAAATATTTGTATGATTCTTTGGATTCAGGAAAAATTATTATGATGCATATTTCTCGTCACCCGAAAACTTTATTGTCCAACTCATATAGAGTTGAAATTCACATTTTACGCAACTATGCTTTATTCTTAAATTAGATATAATTTTCTTTCGTTTAAATTTTATGAAATTAAATTGCATGTTATAATTTGTTATGCTAAATTGCTAAGATATTTTGAAAGGCCAGCTGAAAAAATACCTAGTGTAAAAAAATTGCTGACAATTTAAAAAAAAGAAAATAGAGCAGATAGGAGAAAGAAATTAAAATGTACGACTTCATATTATCTGTATGGTGGATTAATTATTTTTCCACGCCAAGATTCTTAATTAGTTACGAAGGTTTGGAATAGATGGCGCTACTGGCTAAAAATTATACAAACAAAAAATCTCCTGCTTCAAAATATGAGACCATCAACATAAATATTAGCACACACATTTGTAAATTTTGTGTATAGCATCATCTTTCTAATGCAATGATACTCATCGAGAAAAATGTAATATTAAAGGTTTTTTTTAAGTTACCAGCATTTGAGGAGAAAAAACTGTATAACTAGTTTTTATTCTTGATAAGAATAAACGTGGTTTCTCTAGAACACTGCAGATCTATGTTTTTATATCCTTCCGTTTTATTTAAAGGAATTTTCAAATCGCCGGTCATTTTTGGAACACTCCATATATGAGTCCATTGAAAAGCGTTTTCCTTTTTTCAACTTCCCGCATATTTCATTATTTCACCTTCATTCATTATTTCATTATTCATTTTTTCATTATTTATTATTTCATTTTTCATTATTTCATTATTCATTAATTCATTATTCATTATTCATTATTCATTATTCATTATTTCATTATTCGTTATTTCATTATTCATTATTTCATTATTCATTATTTCATTATTCATTATTTCATTATTCATTATTTATTATTTCATTATTTCATTATTCATTATTTCATTATTCATTATTTCATTATTCATTATTTCATTCATTATTTCATTCCATTTAATACTGATTTTTCATTGTAGGGCAAAGGTAAAATGACAACTTATTGGTTGATGGGAGAAAAAGAACAGCCTCTTATTAACATAACAGAATCAAAGAAAGAATGCACCATACCAAATAATAAAGATATACATGAAACGAATCTATAAGAGATTTAAGATTAAGTGATTGATTTATAGGGATCACAGATCACATGTGCACTTAAGACTTTAACACACTCATCACAAGTGATTAAATCATTCCTGAGCTACAATAGAAACTTGAGAAAAAAAGTTTCTTATAGAAGATATTCTTATGGGTTATTTAATTGTAAATAGAAATACTGCAATCAGAGTATATATCTTCATAACCATCATTTTCCATTGTAAGTAACCTGAGCTTAAAGACTGTTCTCGAATTTTGAGTCCATCGGAAAGAAAGTGATATATCTGAGAGAAATGAAATACCATGAAGAAAATTATTTCAAAATGTTATTATGATTACTGATGTAAAATTCCTTATTATATGTTTGATGTTGTTGTATGCAAATTATAAAGTGTTTTTGAGTGTTCCTTGGTTTATTTATTTATTTATTTCTAAATTCAAAACAATCATTTGGATGGTTATTCGAATTTTCATTAAAAATAAGTACTGCTAAAAAAATTTGCCTTGCATGTATATATTACTGTCAATGAATAGGATTCCGCATTCTATAGAAGGACTAATCATTTTGTAGAGAGCGTAAATTCAAAACAAGCATTTAGGAGTTATTCGATATTTTATTTTTAAAAAAAAGTACTGCATCAAAAAATTAAGCTCTACATGTGTAGATTACTGTCAATGAATGGAATTCGGCCTTCTATAAACGTCTAAACAATGTATAAAAAGCGTAAATTCAAAACAAGCATTTGGGCGGTTATTCGATATTTTATTTTTAAAAAAAAGTACTGCATCAAAAAATTTAGCTCTACATGTATACTGTCAATGAATGGAATTCGGCATTCTATAAACGTCTAAACAATGTATATAAAGCATAAATTCAAAAAATGCATTTTGATGGTTATTCGAAATTTTCTTAAAAAAAGTACTGCATCTGAAAATCATGAAATACATTTATATATTACTGCCAATGAATTGAATACACCATTCTATAAAAGGTCTAACCATTGTATAGAGAGCGTAAATTCAAAACAAGCATTTGGAAGGTTATTCGATATTTTCTTACGGACAAGTGCTGCATCAGAAAATTTTACCATGCATACATATATTTCTGTCAATGAATGGAATTCGAAATTCTATGGAATATATATATGTAGAAAGTGTAAATTTACCGGCGAATTAATATGTCACACATTTACTAGTAAATCTATAAAGTGTCTGATAAAAACCTACAGTCATTCGGTACAATGATAAGTGAAGCATTTAGTATATTCGCATATTTCATATTTCAACTCAAGATCATTTGCTTAGACGTCAATGCAATAACTAAGCAACAAAAAGTCCCTGGCCAATTTGTTAGACTCACTATAAGATTCTGCTGTTTTCTGATTCTGCTGATTTTCTTTTGTTTCGGAATCAATTCGTCACTTGACTCAATGTTCTTCTTTTTTTGCGCCGTATGCTAGATTTAGAAACCTTCAATCTTCGTGATATTTCGAGGTTTGAAATATTTTAGCATTCACGAGGGCCTTTACTTCAGTTTTTTTACACGGTGAAAGATCGCCTTTTTTATTCATGGTGAAATTATTCCAATTGATTATTCATGCACTGCACACAAAATAAACAAATAACTGTGTAGTAGCGAACAGATAAACACAGCGCATAAAGCAACAGAAACACGTCCGCAACTAACGCACGTGCGAACGAGACTGAAACCAGTATGTACTTGTTTGCGTTCGTGTATCAATTGGTTAGCATTGTAATTCAATACGTTAAAAATAAATACAAATGGGAAGTTTATAAAAAATCTCCTGAATAAGATGCAATTACATATATCTTTAAGTATAAACGTATTGCATATGAACTCGCGCAAAACATGTATTTATTTTTAAAAAAACTACAATGTGTCTAATAATTTGAACATTATTAGACATTACATTTTAAAATGAGGAAATGTCTACGTGTTTCATTTACCTACCAACATATCAGAAGTGAAAAACAGGATTACAGATATTGATGGAGTCTCGTTTGTTAAAGTATAGAATGAAATAACCTACAAGTCGGTTTCATGCCATGTGTGAAATAGAGCTAACTAGAAATGTTACTGTACTATCTTTATATTTTTACCTGTAGTTAAAGGGCAATTAAACAAGTTTAGAACTGCAAGATTACTTCATGTATAATGCGCAAAGAAATAAACGAAATAGCCTGAATAAATTTTTATTTTACGAACGGGTTTTCACGTTCTAGATATGATCCGAATGGTTCAGAACAAGTAAGTATTTAACAATCTTAATGTTTCGAGGGGATGACCTCAAAGAAGGAAATTGCCGTCGATATGTTTAGTTACGAAAGTAGAGGCAGATACGTACTTTCTCTAAAAACCGTATCTTTTTTTTCTGACGGATGCTGTATTCCTGGTTCCCAAAATATAGGGGGTAGTCACAATTCGGGAAATATGATCTCAAGTAGTTTGTTCAACAGAAAGATCATAAGTTTGGAATTCTTAATGTTAATTGTAGTTTTGCGTAGTTTGCCATATCTCCAGAAATTGTCCAGAAAATTGATATTTTTTTTCACAAAATTAAAAATTCGTTTATTAAAAAATAATCTCATGCAAAAAAAAATTTTTAATGATTTTATTATTATTTTTTTTAATGCTAGCAAAAAAAATATTGCATTGTAAAGTATGCAAACTTTTACATGATTCTAAATAAATTAATTTTATGTAACAAAATACAAAATTTGAAAAAGGAATTTTAAAAAGCGTCAGACATTAAAAATTCCATTTCTCTGGAACAATTCGATCAATTTTGTTGAAATTTTGTACCTTTCTATATAAAATTTATTTCTTTAAAATGGTGTAAAAGTTTTTGTACCTTTAAACTCATATTTTTTACTATTGTTAAATAAAGCAGCAAAAGATAATAAATAATTATTAAAAATCATTACTTGCATGAAATTTTTTATTATTAACACATTTTATTATTGTAGGCAAAAGTTTTTCAATTCACCTAAAATGTTCTCGACATATGGTGAATTAAGAAAAAGGTAAATTTAACTTTAAGGGGTACGAACTTTCGACCACTCTTCTAAACCCAAACTATTGGAGCCATATTTTGCAGATTGCAGCTACTCCCGATATTTTTTGGGGTCAGAAATCATAATCCGTAGAAACTCCGATCAAAATTATTCAAGCTGTTTCGATTACTTTCTTTTGCCTACTGTACATTGTATGCCCTGAATTTTTCTTTATACTATTTCGCCTATATTGTTAGTACTATTTTTGTATATAAGGTATTTCAAAAAGGTGAAGTATGATTTTCATTAAGTTTTTAGTTTTAAAACAAGATTAGGATTATTTTCAGTTTACGTCATAAATTGCTTTTTTGTAAAAAAAAAAAAGAAAGCACTAAATTGATTTCCAAGTAACGTAACATCCTCATATTTGCAATTAAAATTTAGCTTTTAAAAATTTTATGATTTATGTTAAGAGAAAAGAGATTTCATTCTTTCATATTGCCGTTATAACACATGAACATTAATTATACAATAAAAACTAAATAATAATATTTGCAAGGCAAACTTCGATGTCTGAAATTTAAATTGCATTTTTTAATTAGATTGAAAAACAGCTGCGAAAAAGAATAAAAAATTTAGATTTAAGTAATTAAAAAGTGTCCCGAGAAGATGTAAAGAGGAAACTTATGAATCATTAACGATAAGCAGAAATATATTCATACATTGATAATAGAAGAAGACATCGTTTACGAGCTAGATTAGAACAATAAATATCTGGACACATTCAACCGCGAAGGCGTAATTGACGCAAAAAAACAATCAAACTCGATCTTCTTTTCTAATTGCTTTGCCTCCTTCAAGTTTCCGTTTCCTTCTTACAAAAGAAGGGGAATTCGATTACCAGCTTAATACTACTACTACGAAGAAACAAATACTGATACTAGAAAAACATAACATTTTCGAATTGTCCTCGTAAATTTTTTTTTACAATTAATAAAAAAAGAAAGAAATAGATAAAAAAATTTATTAAGAAATTTAAAATAATTAAAAATAATTATACTATATATTTCGAAGTTTTTATCATTAAGAAGAATAACTTGACTTATAAGATTTAGTTAAATGTTATGGTCCAAATTTTAATGAATGATTCGTACATTTATTAGTGAAATCCGTGAGTTTTTATGGTGTTGTTGTTTCGAATGACACTTGATCAAGCCCAGCTCGCCAGCCATGCAATTTAAGTCAGGAAGAAGTGCCTACCGTTTGACAAGAGAACACCATTAGGGTGAAAGGGCGACTTAGCACAAAACCCCCCAGATTAATGACAGCACCACTAATTCGACAGGATACTTCCACCATTTATTCATAAATCTAATAAGGAAGGAAATTTTCTCCAGATGTCTGTATTTATGGTACTGACCGTCATCCGTTGTGCATGAATTAAATAGTAATGCTTAGGTTTCTTTTCAATTATTAAACGATGCTGCCGTTAAAATTTTCAATCCTGATCAATTTTTTTGATGTAAAAGTAAGTAAAAGTTTGTTTTTATCTGTATTTTTTATATTTTTTTTTAAGCTTTCCAAATATTTGTATTTTGCGTTGGTCCTTCATGTATATTGATTTAATTAAAGCAAAAATTAATGTTTCTGAAAACAAAATGACAAACTAAACAATTTTTTTAATCTTCAAATTGTAGAATAGCAACATACAATTTATTATTGTTAGTTAAATTTCGAAATGTTAATAAATGTATAATTGTTGTAAATATTAAGATATTTCGAAATGTTTTACATATCAAGAAATATATTGATTATGATTTTCTAAGAAAAAGGAAAATTAACCAATACAAATTTCAGAATGTTTTGAAGTAAAATATACATTAAGCGTGAATAATAAGCTTGAATATTAAGAAAGAGTAATTCATGGCTAACAACAATGATTTTATCCAATATTAGATGCAAAGTATAATGAAAAATCCATATGAAAGTAGTGGATATAGAAAGACAATAATTTTTTAGTTTTCCTGACCTTTGTATTTTACGTTAGTCTTTCTGGTTAGTCCCGTATGTATTTAACGCATGTTTTTTAACGAACTGTTCATCTATTTCTTATCTTCAAATTGTGGAATAGCCTCACAAATTTATTACTGCTAGTCGAATTTTTAAATGTTTAGAAATTTTTAATTCTTGTATATGCTGAGAAATTTCTAAATGTTGTGAACATCGAAAAGTATATTGATTTGTAATTCCGAGGGAAAATGAAAATTATCTAACACAAATTCAAGAATGCTTGGAAATAAAATGTACTTTAAACGCAAATAATTAGCATGAAATTTAAGAAATTGTAAAAGAGAAATTCTCGGTTGAAAACAAGAAATTGCTTCATTATTAAATTTAAAGGAAACTGTGAAATCCATATGGAATCAGTTGATAAAGGAAGGCACTTTTATTCAAACTATACAGGAGCCCTGAAATTAATATATTCTTATGTTTGAAGAAGCTTTCTATTGCCTGTGATGCTTTGTAAATGTAGAAGACAGAGGGTGAAAAATCCTTTAGTGTGTTATCTCCCTTTTAAAGGGATTTAACACACGATACTGGCGAAGACAAATTCGTCCAACAAATGTAAAGGGACTTAAACAAATTTGTTCTAACTTTTCGCTGACAAGATGAATTTTTCCTGAGAATTACATGAAGAAACTCCAGTTTTCTGTTAAGTACCAAATAAACCAGATTTCTTACCAGCTGTAGTCATGGTTTGCAGTTAAAGATTTAAAAACGCCAAAGAATAAAATTATAATATGTAATAAAATAGTTAGTTAAGTTTTAAATTAGCATTTCTGAATTTCTGATTGTCACATGCCTCGCATAATGAAATGCTTTTCATTTTTAATAGTTTATTTACAATCATCTTTTTTGAAGGAAGATATATTTTTAGCAAGTACACAAGATAAAATCTTGCATTTAAATTGAGTATTTCATACTATGTGTTTTTTATTTTTTAATACTGGGAGTAAAAATTAGTTCGGTTCACTTTTTTGTGGTAAAAAATGCATTTATTTCAGAACAAAATGAATGAGCAGATTAATTAAGGATTGTCCATCGCTGGCTACTACTTAATCCCACTTCTCAGGCAATTTTCGAATTCCATCTCGAAAAAAATGTCTCGTCTTTTGAGGCGATCCAAGTTAGGAGCCAATTTTCGACTTCTGAAAAAGAAGTAAACCGGTGACCTGCCAAATCATGTTGCATCCGTTGGAACCACCAGTAATCAGAACGAGCAATGTCCGGCGAATATGGCGGAGTGGTAAAATATCCCACTTGGGCGATTCCAAATATTTTTTACGACTTTTGATACATGAGGCCGACCGTTATCATGCATAAGAATAACTTTGTCGAGTTTTCGCTCGTATTCCGGCCATTTTTCTCGTTATGCACGGCTAAAATGAATCAATTGTAGCCTATACCCATTGCCTGTAATGGAATCGCCAGGTTGTAGCAGCTCGTAGTATACAACACCATTCTTTATTCAGCATTCACCATTCCTTCGTCATCATTCACCATTCAAACGTCGAAACCATTCCCTACATGATTTATCAGTTGGAGCATTGTCACCATAAATTTCTACAAGCGTTCGATGCGCTTCAGATGCACTTTTCTTCCAATTAAAGCAGAAACATAAAACCTCCCGCAAATGCTGCTTAGTTACCACAAAATTTGACATGTTTAACTAAGCAAAAAACAGGGTTTTTGTATGAAACTCAGAGCGATATAAACTGAATATTATTAGCAGATGTCTAACCTCCCTGAAACCACCAAAACCAGCTGTCACTATGAAACATTCATATCAGCCAGAGCCATTTTTTGAAAACGGACCGAACTAATTCGTACACCCAATACATACTAGGTGAATTTGTCTATATTAGAAGCTTCAAACTTGAAAAGAAAGTTGGATACACCATAAGGATTAGGAATTACATAGACTCCCACGGCAGAAAAGGTTATCATATGCCACTAGGAGCACTTTCCTATCAAGAACTAATTTTTTTAACTACATTATCTTATTTTTGACCTAATTTTATGCTTAAAATTTGATTGTTGTCAAAAAGTGAATTTAAAAAGGTAAATAAAAGGTATATTATTGTCAATTTAATAGTTTTGTGATGAGCTTGATGAATTAGGAACAGAAAAATTAGTTCAAAGGCACACGATCCGGAAATTCATAATATCGGGGAACCGTTAGCGACGTATAATGACATATCCGGCTATAAGTTACTATGCAATTCTCAATTATTATGTGCCCTACCTTCCTTAGATGTTTGTGAATCATCCTGTAAAAAATGGTAACACAAAATCTTTAAAATAATGTGATATTATTATTCTAGATTATTAAGATAGTTAAAAAAAATCATCTGGGAAGATAAAACCTTAGTAAAATTTAGAACAGATTTTTCTTAGCGATATTTTTTATAAATAATTTTATACTTTTAAGTTATAGTAATTTATTTTTGAATCATTTTCAATTACTTTATTTATTCATATATTCATTTATTATTTTTATTTTATTTTCATTCAAACTATTAGCAGTAAAAAAAATTACTTTTATTCTTTAAAACTACTTAAGTGAAAAAACAATTATTCAGATTTGTTAAGCTAATTGTTTCTTGAAGAGGAAAAATAATTATTTAGGTGATTTAAATCTTGAAATTTGACTCATGAAACTATAATTTTTAAAATTTTATCAGATTTAAACAGATTATAGAAATTTTAAGGGGAATTAATTATCTTTATTTTATATTTTTGCATTTATGTATGTACTTAGTTTTGCATTAAATTTTAAATATCGCTCAATATATTTTAATTTTCGAATAATTATAAAATAACAAATTTTACAGAAACATTATTAAATAACAGACGAATAATTAAATAACATAAATATCAATTATATGACTATATTTGTCCTAGATCTAATTATTATTAATAAATATACTTCAAAAATAACTAAGGCTGATGTGATATACACATATTTACAAACTGCTTGAAATCAAAATGTAAACAATTGCAAATAGCTATTAGTTTTATTGATAATCAAGCCCTTACTCAAATAGTTAAGAAAATTTCATTGTAAAATATTAGAAATAGAAAACAACATTGCAAAAAAACAGTTTGTAAATTTTGCATTGTATGTTAGATAGTAAAACGCAATTAATAACCAGTTGTGCAATGTACATTTAAAAAGGGTTTTAATGCCATTTTATTACACATACTATGCATTTAAATTACAAATGAGTCTCCTTAGGACATTCTAAAAGATCTTGCAGTGCATCATTCATCTTTTCTTCCCCTAATAGCCAATAGGTGGTTTGTTTTCCTTTTCCCTGAAATACATTACATGCTTTTAAAGAAAAAACATTTCAAAAAAATGTATACAAAATCATTACATTTATCATATCCTGGATAAAAGTTGCTCTAAATTTTACCTTTGTAACATTCCAAACTTATGTGTATCGAATTGAATTAAAACTAAAATAGAACATTTTAAGAAAATGATCAGATCGTCAAAAAATGTCATGTTTCGTACTTACTTGGCTTATACAAAGCACAACAAAACTAAGCTAAAAGTTTGAAAAGTGATTTATTTTCTCTTTGTTACTTTCGTTTTAAAAATGATCAGTCCATTCAAATTGAAGCTCTCTTAGTGTCTACTTTTGATGAAAACATGAAGTAACCAATTGCAAAAGACAGTTGGGATATATGAAGATCGTCGGTGAGATATAAATATTGTTCATAGATATTAAAGAGAGTTTAAAGAAGCTTCTTCCTAATCAGACTTTTTTTCTGTTCTTAAGAAGGTTCCTGGTCCTGTCTTTTCTCCAGTTTATAAATTTAAAATACTTTTTACGCAAGTGTTTCCGTTACCAATTTGGCATTATCTTATATGAAGCGGTTTCTCGTAAACTGTCTGCAACCGTAATCTTATGATTAGACTTATGAAAAAATCATTGCAATTCTTTTTGGAATTCAGAAGCAGACATCCAATGACGGTTTATGTAGTGACGATTACGTAGTAACTGTAGTATTCTGCTTCCCTCTGCTTTCTGAGGAACCAGGGACCTTCCAGAGTTATAGCTAATTCTGGATAGCATTAAGAAGTTTCTTATTCATTATTTTCTTTTAATTTATTTCTATCTTTTTTATTAATTATTTTTTTAATCTTTTCATTTCATCTTTTTTTTTAATTTAAAATCATTAGGACTTCAAGATGATTCCCATTAAATGGGCTGTTAGATAAAAACATTTGCTGAGTCAAATAACTGAATGTCGGTTGACATATTAAAAGAAAATGTTCAGTGTGAACTTTTTTATAAGCGCTAAAATAACATTGAGTCTGTGGAATAAAGAACTATACTTAATGTATCGGTCATAACGATCAGAAGGTGGCTGTAATTGAAGGTTGTACAAAGGAGGGTGGACTGCATAATTAGGACTTTCGAAAGCTTAATAGTTAATCTGATAAATTATATCTGTCAATCTGTTCAGGATTTTCAGAATTTTTTGCTATAAAAAAGCACTGTCGAACAAATGAGTTAATGGTCAAGCAAATCTATCTGTTAAACGTATATCTTGGGTAAAAGAGCTGTCTTCCAAACGTACTTATCGGTAAAATGAGCTATCGAACGAACGTACCTTTCATGCAAATCGAGTCAGGCAATTGAATTCCAGGACAGTCGACTGTCGGAAAAATGTAAAATATTCAAATATTACTCACCAAAAGTATTTGTGAAAAATGATTCAACTCAATTAATATCAAATAATAAGACATTTAATACAAAATTTCAAACAAACTGACAGAATGGCGAGCAACAGAATTGTTCTGACGAGATGCATAGAAGCATAGAGTATTCAATGTTCTAAGCAAGACAAATTTTCTTTCATTTCTTCCATGAAGCAAATGATTTTTTTCTTCTAGAATATTTCAATTTATTGCGCTTTATTTTGTATTTGTTTCACTTCTAGAAAAGACCTTAATCTTTCCAGCTAGAAGCCAAATGTAATTTTTATATACATTAACATTATGATTCAGAAACAACACATAAAATTTATCACTCTTTTAGCCGGATAAAATATTTTTAGTCAGTAAGCAGAAATGATTTTTTTTCTATTGAAACTAATTTTTCTTCACGAAAGATCAAGGAATATATTCACTTATGAAGATTGTTTTAAAAGGGAAATATCTTAAGAAATAATTTTAAATTTATCACCATCTTTACTCTTAAATTAACTATAAGAGGAAATATTCCTCATCCTATTAAATTTAATAGAAAATAACATTTTTAAAATGATTTCTAAACGTAATTTCTTTATTTCTGCAAAAATATGAGGAAGTAAAGTGTTCAATTAGTTCTTGTCTCGCATATTTAAAACTCGAAAGGGAGAAGTCATATGTTGGTAGGAAATCAATAAAGCGATTTGTAACTTCTGAAAGTTTGATTTAAATGTCATGAAAGATTTGAATATTCTCAAAAGGAAATTTTAATTGCCTGCTAACATATTTAAATTAAGGAAAATTTATATGATGTACTGAAGTCTTGCGATGTACATTTATTTTTATAAACATTGAAGGATTTTTCTAATTAAATTTAATGCATATAATGCTCAATTTTTTTAGCTTAAGTTTAAAGAACTGAAAATGACAACTTAGCTTGCTAACGTCTTATCCTTACATACTTATGTTAGCATCAGTAATTTACTAGAAAATTTAATGACAATATAGTGCTCGAAGTTTCAATGATACCAAACTTCAGTTCAAAGAGTTATTTTTAATATATATAAATTAAGAACATATTTCAAATGGTTGTCTAAGAAGTCTTATAAATCATATACTAAGGAACAGAGTTCTTTTATAGGTACCAAGTAATTATTATCACCAAATTTCAAAGTTAATTATGGAGTTCATAAAAAGATGAATTTTCAAACTGGGAATTATGAGAACCAACAGTATTTTTTTTATCACTATTATTTGCAGTAATAACGTGGTGTAGATGCCAATGCAAATATTTTAATTGGAATGCAGCTGCAGAAACATTAAATCATTACATCTGTTACCATAAAACGTTGTTTTGTTGTTTTACAGGTATTCAAATCAGGAGTTTTATTTCTTTCAAATTGCCTAATTCCTCAATCATAGTGCGTTAGGCTGTATATATATATATATATATATACAATATATATATATATATATATATATATATATATATATACAATCCCGAGTTTACTCGAGAT